GAGTTCGACAGCTCGTGTCAAATTTGGCGCCGTTGCCGGGGAAATTGCATCGGTCTAAATCGTTTTCTGATTCTTGATCATCTTCTTCTTCTTTAATTTTCGTTTCTTTTTCTAAAAAAAAAAAAAAATCTTCAATTTTCATTTTGATTTTTTATTTTTCTGTTTCTATTTCTATATATTTTTTTTTATTCTAATTAGTGAATATTAGAGAGTAGATTAGATTTTGTTAGTATTTTGATTAGACTAGACTAGATTTTATTTTCAATCATTCCTAATCTTTTCATTTTTTTAATATTTTCTTTGATATTGTTAGATTATATTATATTTTGTTAGATTTTGATTATATATATTAGATTTTGTTAGATGTTTTGTTATAATTTAGGAAGTTTTGGTCACAATAAAAAAAAACATGGATAATAGAAGCTTAAGGCAATTGACTGCACCTGATGTTAAGTATCAGTCTTTTTGCATTCGTTATCTTGATACTGGTTTTAAACTTAAGTCTGGTCTTATCCATTTGCTCCCCAAGTTTCATGGTCTTGCAGGTGAAGATCCATATAAGTATTTGAAAGAGTTTCATGTAGTCTGCAACGTAATGAAACCACAAGGAGTTGATGAGGAACAGGTCAAACTGAGAGCCTTTCCTTTTTCCCTCGATGGAGGAGCTAAGGATTGGCTGTACTACCTTCAGCCTTCATCTATCGAGACTTGGAATGACATGGCCAGATTGTTTTTGGAGAAGTTTTTTCCGTCCTCAAGAGCCACTTCAATCAGAAAGGAGATAAGTGGCATAAAACAAGCAAATGAGGAAAACTTGCATGAGTACTGGGAGCGGTTTAAAAGACTTTGTGCAAGCTGTCCACATCACCAGATCCGGAGCAATTGTTGATTGTCTACTTCTATGAGGGATTGCTACATATGGATAGGAACCTGATTGATGCTGCCAGTGGAGGAGTTCTTGTTAACAAAACACCCAATGAAGCTAAGGCGTTGATCTCAAACATGGCTGCAAATGCTCAACAGTTTGGAACGAGAGCCAATAGCAGTGTTATTTACCAGGTGCAAGAAACTCCGGCTCAGCCTTCAGCAGTGGCATCAAGTGCTGACAATCAGCGAATTGAAAATAGACTTGATGAATTGGCAACCATGGTGAGACAGTTGCCAGTTACCCAGACAGTCCAGACTTCTGCTCCACAGTTCGACAATCCATGTGGCATATGCAGTGACCCTTTTAGCCCCACTGATGCTTGCCCTTCTCTACAAGAGGGCTCCATTCCTGCAGACCAGTCAGTAGCTGCAGTCTTTCCTGGGAAACCACAGTTCCAGCAGCAGCAGAATAATCCATTCTCCAACACTTACAATCCTGGCTGGAAGAATCATCCCAACCTCAAATGGAACCAGAATCAGCAAAATGTTCCATATCAGCAGAGTCAACAAAATTTTCCATACCAACAGAAGCAGCAGTTCATTCCACAGCAGAGACAAAACTTCCAGCAACCTGCTCCTCAACAGTTGCAACAACAACCACCAGTGCAGCAACAAAACAGTGGCAGTGGTCCTTCTTTGGAGGACTTAATGAAACAGATGGCCACCAACAATCTGGAGTTTCAACAGAGGACATAATCCACAATCCAGAATTTGCAGACACAGATCGGGCAATTGGCGACATCAATGAACCAGGACCAACCTTTCAGCAGCTCCCTTCTATCCCAAACAGTTCCAAATCCAAAAGGAAGCGGAAATGTAAGTGCTATTACTCTGCGGTCTGGAAAGCAAATGGAGGAGCCAAACCAAGCTGCTGTTGAGTCATCTAAGGGAGGTGACACTAGTTCCAAGAAGCAGAGCACTGATACATCTGATGTCCATATCCATCTGCCTTTCCCTCAGAGAGCCACTCAATCCAAGAAGCAATCAGCAAAGGCTCAAGATAAAGAGATACTTGACACCTTCAGAAAAGTTGAGGTGAACATCCCTCTTCTGGATGCAATACAGCAGATTCCGAGATATGCCAAGTTTCTAAAGGAGCTGTGCACCAACAAGAGGAGACTGAAAGGAGATGAGCAAGTTAACCTGAGTCAGAATGTATCAGCACTCATCCAGCCTATGCCTAAAAAATGTCAAGATCCAGGGACATTTACTATTCCTTGTGTAATTGGCACTTCTGTTTTTCATGATTGCATGCTAGACTTAGGGGCTTCCATTAATGTCATGCCTGAATCTGTATATAAGTCTCTTGGTCTTGGTCCTTTGCGTGCTACTAGTATTGTGGTTACATTAGCTAACAGGAGTAGAATTCACCCATCTGGTTTGATTGAGGATGTATTGGTCAGAGTTAATAATCTGATTTTTCCTGCTGACTTCTACATTTTAGAAATGGAGAGTGAGACTGCTACTAATAGATCACCAATTATACTTGGTAGGCCTTTCATGAGAACAGCTAGGACCAAGATAGATGTTCATTCTGGTACTCTATCCATGGAATTTGGTGATAGCATTTTACATTTTAGTATATTTGATTCCATGAAGCATTCTAAGGTTCAGGTTGATCATTCAGTTTCATGCATAAAAGTGATTCATGATGTGGCTGATAAGGTTGATTCTGAATTGATTAGTGATTGTGCATTACCTGTGGATTATGACTTGCCTATTAATGTTAATTCTGAATGTGTACTAAATGTGAAGTTATGCAAGATTCCCCATTCTGGTAATGATTTTGATCCTAACTTTCATGGACCCAAGATGAAATGGGTACCAAAAAGTTCTTCCTCTGTTTTTAGTATGCAGAAAACTTTGCGTAAGGTTGGAAGAAAGGATCAAGAGAAGAAGAAATACACACAGAAAAGAAAGCCCCCAAAGTTGCGTGATAAGCAGATGGGGAAGACTTGCACAATGATTGGCCATCACCTCAAAGTTGTTAATGAAGGACCCCAGAAGCAACCTGTGGAGACAGAGGCTCTGGTCATTGATGCTACTTATCCTCCTTAGGGAGTTCAGGGAGTTCTCTTCCTTCTTTTTCTTTTCTTTTTGTTATTTGCATTTTTTATTTTTCTTTTCTTTTCTTTCTTTTAGTTTATGATTTTTCATAGGTAGATTTTCCTTTTTCTTTCTGGTAATTATTAAGTGATACATGGATATACTTAAATCACAGGGTTTGATAGAAATTTCTGCTTAGGCTTGGTTCTTGATTCTTGGATTGCATTACTTGCTGCTTGATACTGTGCTGCTGATTGCATGATGTGGTATACCCTTGTGAGGTTTTTGAGCCTGTAGACATGGTCTTTCTCTGTAGGCCAGTTTTTCTTTCTTGTGTGATTCTGCTCTTGATTGTTGCCCTCTAGAACTTGCTCTTATTCTTTTTGAAACTGCATTTTTCACATGCATGCATGAATATGGTTGAGGCATTCTTTCTTTCTTTACCCACTTTAGCCAGATAGCCATCCCTTATATTATTATCCCTTGGTGAGCCCATTTTGAGCCTTTATATCCTTTATTTCTTAAGCCGCATTACAAGCCTAAGTGAAAAACCAATTAATTCCACACCCTTGAGTTTTACTGAGCATTGGTTTCATTTTGATGTTGTGTTTAAGTGTCGGGGTTTGCCCGAGACGGACAAAAGTTTAAGTGTGGGGGGTGACATATGTGGTTGTACTTATGTGGTTTTTCTTCAAAAACAAAAAACAAAAAAAAAACAAAAAAACAAAATGTTTATCTTTTCAGTATCTTTGTTTTATGTTCTTAGTTTAGTTCTTAACTTTTGCTCTTTGTAAAATTCTGAGGTGTTTAGCTTTCTCTTCCATATTCATCCATACCTTTACCTCAGCCCCATTACAACCCTGCATAAAGCCCTCTTGATTTGTGCATGCATGTGTTATTAGCAGTGGAGAAGTAGAATTTGAGCAAGCCTATGGTAGGATGATTTTCTGGAGTTGATTTGAGTGATATACTAAATTAATTGATACACTTGAGAGAAAATTGAGGGCATCCTGTGAGGAACCATTTTTGTGTAATTAGCAGTTGCAATTGGAATTGGCAAGTCTTGTGATTTGAGATTAAGGAATTTTTGTCCTGATTGTTTTATCTGTTCAAGACTTGTGATTTTTGTTATCTTTTGTATACTTGCTAATTATTAGGAAGGATAGGTTGATCTTCACACTTTTCTTATTTCTTTGCTTTCTTTTTCTATTCTAGTTTTTGCCCAGGAGTGCAAAAAGATAAGTGTGAGGGAATTTGATAACTCATATTTTATTACACTTATTTGTTACTCTTGATTAGTATTTTTAGGATTTATTTGAATAAAATAATGATGTTTTGAGTTAATTTACATTTTTAGTTTTTGATTGGGTTTAATTTATTTTCGTCAGAATTTTTCAGCTTTATGTTACTTCTGTATTTTGGTCATATCTTGGTCCACAGTTGTCGGATTGACTCCGTTCTTGTTGGGCTTTTCAGATAACACAAAGGGCTACAATTCTTATGAATAGCTCGAAGCCCAATTCGGATTGGAAGCTAGTCGATTTCGTGCGCCAAGTCGGACACGTTTTGCTGAAGTTTTATTTTATTTTATGTATTTTATTTCGTATTTTAGACATATGGGCCGGTCAGAACTGAACCCTAACCCGCTTTGGGTAGGGGTATATGATGGCAGAGTAGGAAACATTGTAGTCATTCTGTAATTTTCAAAATTGAGGATCAAAGTATTTTCTCTGAAGCGTTCTTCATCTTTTTCTTCTTCTTCTTCTTTTTATTTCAATCATGTTTACCTTAGCCATGCGAGGCTAAGAACCTTTTAATCAACCTAAGGGTAATGGATTCCATGGATTAGTCTTGAGGATCTGCGTTTATTTCAAATCAGTTTTGTTTCCCTTCCCAACTCAGATTGATATCGTGCGATCGTGGATATTCAATCTGAGGTTCGCGATTGCGATTATGGAAAGGGATTAATCATCAGATTTGATGATTAGGTTGATTGACCCTATGACCTTAAATCAAGCGGGCTGATACTCTGCGATTGTATGAGTAGAAACATCGTCTTTGATCAAATGCTAAGCGATCGCTTAGAGAGGGTTGTCAATTGGAAATAAGGATTCTGATCCGATTGACAAATCAATCACGATTCTGATATCTTCTTATCCGAGGAAAGACGTCCATGGAACCCAAACCTTAGGTTGGTTATTTTTAATTACGAATTTTAAATCCAATTTCATATTCTTCCGTTTAAATTATTCAACCAAGATTCAAAAATCCCCCCTTTTAATTTCTGTTTTGATAAACGATTTTTATCCAAGCAATTTCCTTGAGAGAGAGACGACTTAGGGTTTCCACTCTACTACAAATTTTCTGAACCCTAATAAAAAAAATAATTTTTAATTTGCGCGAGTTCGACAGCTCGTATCACCTATCCTGAAAGATTCAAGAAGGATGCTCAGAAGCAACATTATGACAGATTTCTTGATATATTCAAGAAATTGCATGTCAACATTCCCTTTGCTGAAGCTCTGGCTTGCATGCCCAATTATGCTAAGTTCATGAAGGACTTGTTATCAAGAAAGCATAAGCTGCAAGAGTGCCAAACAGTAACACTCACTGAAGAGTGTAGTGCCATAATACAGAAGAAGTTTCCACCCAAGCTTAGTGATCCAGGGAGCTTCAATATTCAAATTGAAATTGGAAACACAAAAATTGGCAGGGCATTATGTGATCTAGGGGCTAGCATTAATTTGATGCCCCTTTCTGTTTGTAATTCTTTGGGGATCACCGAGTTGAAGCCTACTTTGGCATCTCTTCAACTTACTGATAAGTCTGTAAGGAAGCCTAGTGGAATAATAGAAGATGTTCTTGTGAAGGTGGACAAGTTCATCTTCCCTGCTGATTTTGTGGTGCTGGACATGGAAGGGGGAGCTGAGATGCCTCTTTTGTTGGGTAGACCGTTCTTAGCTACATCTCGTGCCATGATTGACGTTGAGAATGGGAAGCTAGAGTTAAGGATGAATGATGAGTCCATTACCATCAATGTCTTTGACTCTATAAAACAATCTTCTGGCAAAGGCGATTGTTTTAGACTCGAGCAAGTGAGGAAAGAAGAAAAATCTTCTAGTCAAGAGCTTGATGAAGAACTTGAGGCACATAAGATTGTTCCTGCTAAGGAAAAAAAGAATGTAGTGTTTGAAGTTCTTGAGAAAACAAATGATGACAAAGAAGATGGTTCCCCAAAAATAAAGTTGAAAGAGCTTCCAGAAACTCGAAAACATACCTTCTTAGGTAATAAGGAGGCAGTGATTGAAGTACTGAAGGAACATGAGACTGCCATAGGGTGGTATACTTCAGATTTGAAAGATAAAGATCCCTCTTCCCGTACCCACAAAATTCTCAATGAAGATGATGACAAACATGGGAGAAAACCCCAAGGGAGACGTCATCCTATACGGAAGAAGGTACTGAGAAAGGAAGTGGTGAAACTCTTAGATACGAGTTGGAAGAGACACCGGGAGCTGAAGTTTGATAAGAGACACCGAGACTCTATCTCTCAGAAAAACCAAAGCTTCAAAGAGTTCTTAACATGGCTTCATGGTTTGGAACAAATCTGGAAATGGTGGTCTCATACACCAAAGCATCCAGTGCCACCG